GTTCATGCACTGCTGTTAGTTTCTTTAGCCAGTAAGTGTGGATCATGGACGAGACAAGAGAACTTGGAATATATATGTGTGTGTGTGTGTATAAATAAGCTAATATGCTTACTGTTCACTCATATATTTTTTAACTTCTACTCTATCACATAAAAAATTACACTTAGAATCCCAGAAGAGAATCAGAGAATCATAGAGTTGGAAGGTACCTAAGAAGTCATCAAGTCCAACCCCCTGCATACTGCATACAATTCACTACATCATCCCTGCTGGATGACTATCTGGTTTCTGTTTGAAAACTTCCAGTGAAGAAACTGCTCCATACGGTGATTTAACTTCCCACGATCTGGACTCTATGCTCCTCTTGATGCTCCTCAAGATGTTGGCCTTCTTTGCACTTGCACTGCACTTGGTGACAACTCAATACTTTTAAGAGCTACATATGGCCTTGGGAGCAGTTCATGTGGTTGGTTTATGGCTTAGCATCATCTATAAATCCAGCATTATGGACTGTAAGCCATAGTTTTTGGCTTAGCATGTCCCGTGAATTTAGCCTCTTGTTACTTTTTCAATGTTAAACATAATATTGTATTTTATCTCTATTAAAATCCAGTGTTACCTATCTATTTGTGGAAAGCAGGGATGGGTCTTTACTCACTTCTAAAATTGGAAAGATGCTTCAGATTCAGCACGGGGATGCTCACAGTTCCTGTCAGCAGCTCCTTAAAGAAACCATGCCTTTACCTGGGCTTGCATAGTGACTGTATAGTCCCAGACCAACATGTCACAACCTAGTACTACTTCCTTAATGCTTCCTTAAGAGGACAAAAGTGCATGCATATTTGTCTCCCTAACAAACATACCTCTCAAATTATCACAATTATTCCTTGTACATTTATCCATGAATATGTTAATCAGCCAAGAGGACATCCCACATCTTAGCTTTGTTCCTGGCTCAGTGTTAGCCATTTCCTTTTATTCTCACGCATGTTTTACTTCCACATATTCCACTCTTACTGGATTCAGCAAGCAACCTTTAATTCCATATTCCTGCACAATATTACAGAATTTGAGTCTATTGTCAGACTTTCCTCCTTGCAGTCTGGACTCGAAACAGTTAATCCAAGGAACAAGAATCCAAGGGCTTTGGCTAATAAAATTTATTAGAAGGATGGTAGAAACAGAAGGATTTCAATGAGTACTCTACTTTCAAAGGAGACCCTTACATATAGGTAATTTAGGGCAACGAATCTCTTGTCCATTTTCTCCCATGTTTTCTCAACAGAGGTCTGGATGTGGTGTTCTTTTGTGAAAGAGGAACAGTCTTCATCTGCTCACTCTTTTGATAACTGTCACCCCTATCAGTATGAGAAGTAACTCTCACAACTATGCACTTTATCATACACTTTCTCTAAATCAGCTAACGTACAATAAATTTTCAGATTGAAATATTTATTAATAACTTTTCAGTAAAAAATCTGATCTATGTACCTGCTACCCAGCTGAGAAGAATTCTGCTAAACACCTTAACACACAAACCCACTGTAATTTTTGTATGTTCTCTTGTTACTTTTCCCAAGTTCCATTATTAATCTTAACATGTAAGCCACTTAGATTTATTTCAGTGACTGAGGTGGCATATACATTCAATGCATAAATAAATATGGATTCTTACTTTCATAAGCACCCATAACAATCTATATGGCGGCAACTCATACTCTCTGAGATAGCCACTGCACTCATAATTAAACCTTCAATTCCTTGCAGATACTCAACAATACCACAAGGATCAGGCCAGGGAGCTGTATGCTTATTTGCCTCTCTGGAGCCTGAATCACCTGTCAAAGTTCAACAGAAACATGAACCTGTCAAAGTTCAACAGAAACGTACTTGGTGACACTAAAACACTGCAATTTCTCTTCAGAATCCCGAGTCTCTGCAATCTTAAACTAATGAGACAAATATGAAAACGAGCAGTAGGTACAGTTATGTACACAATGCCTGTCATTGTGTCCAATTCTCATCCACTGTTTTAAGTCTGTGATTCATCTGATGAAATCGGTCACTTTCCTTTATTCTATTAACAGGCAATGAATGATACTCACTACAGGAGGAGAAGTACTGTCTTTCTGGGAAATATTTCTTGATGAATACGCATGCTAACAGTAATACGAAACCAAATCCAAGGATGGCAATCAGGAAACTGAGGACGAATACAAGCTCTGAATAATAATAATAAAAAAAGAACATGTTGGATGTGATTGGCTTGAAAAGATTTGAGAATAAATGTAATGGAAAAAAAGAGAATGTTAGAGCAAAGATGAAAATGTGATATGAAGGAAATGGTGGAGATCAAGATAAAATATTACATGATTGACTTCAGATCTCACCTGTGGAATTTGGTGGGCTTATAATTGGCTTGACTGCCTCACATAGTTCCTTGCAATCTTCCTTATTGCATCTAGAAGATGAAAACAGAAACAACTGTATATACTAATAACATTCATTGGCATTTTTTTATTTTACTGCCCTTTGAATCTATACTCAGAATTAGAAAACATGGGGAATTGAATAGCTTAATTTGAGTAATTTAACTGGCCCTTAAAATATGTCAAAAGGAAGTGGAAATGTACATAATCTTGGCAAACACCTGTTCCTAAAAGCAAGAGCAGAAGAGAATTAACCTTTCTCCGGGCCCCCCAGATTTGGGCTTGAGTCTCATTGCAAAAATGTCAGAGGAAAAAAAGATTGAAATAATTAGGAATAAGGAGTCATTTGTGAGGAGAATTGTGAGCAGAAGCTAAGAATTCCATTCAGGGTTGCTAGTCCCAATTGCCAAGTGTTACTCCTCAGATTTGCATTTCTATTTCCTAAGACAGTGTTCCTCAACCTCAGCGACTTTAAGACGTGTGGACTTCAACTCCCAGAATTCCCCAGCCAGCTGGGGAATTCTGGGAGTTGGTCTACACGTCTTAAAGTCGCTGAGGTTGAGGAACACTGTCCTAAGACACAGCATTAGGCGCCCACATTTCCTTCATTATGTGTAGTTTGACCCATAATAAAGATACCTTAGCTGCAAGTGATAGTGCTACAGGAATGTAACCCCCCTTTTTGCAGGAAGGATGGACCTGTGTATGGCAATGGGCAAAGGCAATGGGAGCCTAGACTTCAGGCTCCCCTATCACCTTTCTCACACAAAAATACACATTTGTTTACATGCATAAATATATATACTATCTTTTCTTACACTCTTGCTTGCTTTTTCCCCCCGACCCTGGGACTGGAAAGTTTAAATTACAGCCATCCTAGTAAACTGAAATCTCAGTGCTAATCAGCAAGGCAGCACAGAGGAGGGCAATGCAAGACTGGATCTCAACAATTCCATAATGTGCATCTTTCCAACTTCACAGCATGCTAGCATTAAAAGCGGAGGAGAAGCATGTAACTCATGAAGCTCCTCAACTGTTTTCAGCACCGCTACTCTGGGACAACTGAGAAGTACATGATGAAACACCAATCCCACTGTACAAAGGATTAGGGCAGAGAACAGCCAGGGAGCTCATTGATATGTCCAGACCCGAGCAATTTCCACCGCAAATCATCATGGAAACAGGAGGATGCATCAGCTGGGAGCAGAGAAAAGGCCTACAGTTACATGTAGCCTAGAAGTTATTCACACTTGAATTACAGGATAGATAACAACATTTCCCCACCTGCTGCAGGGAACACACTTGTTCTGATCTGCCTGAAGAAAAAATCCAAAGTGACATTCGCATATTGTATCACTATATGTGGTGCCTAGAAAATAGCAGGAGAAGCAAATAATGATTATTAGGTGATAATAAGCTGGGGCGTTTTTAAAGCCCAGATAAATAGTCAACCTGATCCCAAAAAATTAAGCAGTCAGCTCTGATTAGTACTTGCATGAGAAATACAAGGGTGCAGGCTAGATTGGGAAGTTGCAAAAATACCTCAGAAGAAAATGAAACATGGGATGGGGCCAATACCAGTGGAAAGGATTAGCTATGATAGGAGATTGGCATTGTCAGATAAAGCACAGAAGGCCTGGAATTAGATAATATTAAGAATGCTGAAATTTAGAATGAGCTGAGTTAATACCAAAAATTACAAAAAGGGGAGGGGGATCTTCCTCATATATATTCAAAATAACAAAGAAAAAAGTAACAGCTATTGTCTGCAGCAAGCCATAGCATTTGTCTTTCATAGCTTGGGCTTGAAAATTAATTAATATCAAGGCTGGTTAGTACTTGGATGGGAGACTACCAAACAATTCCAGCACTGCAAAGTCAAAAAACATCCCCAAAGATGACAATGGTAGTACTGTTACCAAAAAAATTAAGGGGTCCTCAAGATTTGAGCTCTCCAACTCTTTAAATCAGCTGCATCTTCTCCCAGAATTTCACAGCTGCAGTATAATCCCAGAAAAAGATCCCTTTGGTTTAAGGAGTTGCAGGCAGATGCTACATGAGAACCCCCATAGACTCTGAAGTCTGTTTCTGGAGCACTGCATAATTCTACTGCTCATTCCCTATTAATTATACAATAGTTTGAAATTATCTTTTTTCTATATCATATTCTCTAGTGAATGTTCTTTTTAATTCAGTTTCTGGTACCATACTGTGCATGTTAAGTGGTAAAAGGTGGAACGCAGATTTAAAAACCAGATAAAAATAAGAGGAAGTGAATGGAAGACGACCAACTTTGCCAACAAGCAAAAAGATTGCACTGAACACAAACATACTATATTATTGTAGAGGATAAATGAATGAAGATGGAGTCAGATTTAAACTGTTATCATATTGATTTTTCTAGATCACACTTACAGCGTTGTCTGATTTTTCCATTTTGACAGTCACTGCAATTCTTGCATAAGAATTCAGGATTTCTGGTAGTCTTATACTGATTATCGCCACAACCACAAACAGTGTTTTGCCGATGGGTACAGTTGGACTGTGTTATCTGCTGAAAGCCTGGAAAGAGTCAGGAAAAGCTGAGTATTTCTATTGAGATCATACTGCTACATGTAATAGCAGAACAACCTGAACATTAAACCGAACTTCTACATGCAATTCTTAATTTGGAAAACAGTTCTAGTGCTTATATTTCACATCATTTAAAATATAAGTTATATAAGAACTGATTTGAATTTACAAAAAGCAGGATATAAAACTCCAAAAATTTGTACCAAGGAGTCCACACTCACAGCATTCTTGGCAGACTGGCATTGTAAACATGCTTCCCTACCACCCATCCACCCACCCACTCACTCACTCTTTCTTTCTCTCTCTCTCTCCCTCCCTCCCTGATTTATGGGTGCAATTTATAATTTGCTTTAATTGCAGGGACTCTAAGCAATGTATCAACAATAACATAACCAATGTAGCTATTATAATAAAACACAATAAACCTAATGAATAACATATTAATAATAAAAATAAACATATAGGCACATCTGGCACCAACAGCTATATACACACAAATAAATATACAAAGTTCTAATGCTTGCTTTGTTCACTAGTGCTCACTTTTAATTTAACCACATACAAAATTAAACTTACTTGAACGACATCTTTGGCATCCAAAACACTTTTGTAAATAATTCTGTTGAGACATAAAAGCACCTTCAGGACATTTGGAGCATTTAGTTGCCTTATCTGGCCCTGAACAATGTTCTTCAACATAAGTTCCTGGAAAGTGAAAGGATACCACCAAGTGAATCAGAAAATCACTGAAATTGAAACTTTCAAATAATCTAAAAATGGAGGATGTAATTATTTATTATGTATTATATTTATATACCACTGAATCTGTCAAAGACTTGTGATAGCTTACAACAACCCAAAAATTTCTCAGTAACAATATCAAAAATAAAATGTCTATGGCTGAATTTAAAATAAACAGACGTACTAAATACTGTCAATAATCATGATAAATGGACAATTATAAATTGACCAAGGCTTTATCATAGACCAGAAATATATCTAAACCAGTAACAACAACAATAACAGCAACAATACATGTTAAGAAGAACTCTGTTTTGACTGTCTTCTGGAACCCTATTATAGAGGAGCCAATCTAATTTCTGAGGGGAGGCCATGCCATAGAACCAAGGCCGTAACAGAAAAACAGCACTTCTGGGCCTCAGCCCCCTCACTTCACAGAAATTAGGGACAACCAAGTTCCTCCCTACCTGAACATACCAGGTAGATTGATTCTGGTTGGAGAGGGCGGTCCTGCCCTGGGGCCAAGCTATGTAGGGCTCGATAGTTCAAAACCAGCAGTTGGAATTACATCTGGAAACATAATGGCAATCTATTCCAGCTCACAGCACAGGTGTTAGGTGCTCCTCACGCCTTACACCCCCCAGTAAGCGGGTTATTGCATTCTACACCAAGAATAGTTTCCAATGTAAGGTTTGCCCCGTTCGACAGAGAAACTCTCGTGACACGTGTGGTTCACAAAGA